TACTAGATGGTTAGATGCAAGATAACTGAGAAGAACTCTCCTGAAGTGGAACACAGAATAAGGAGGTAGAGAAAGATGCTAAGGGCAAGCCAGGGCAAGAGAAAGCATGACATCACACTGCCTCCTTGAACTTCTGAAGGTGTCTTCATTTCTTCCACAAAGACATTTAACTATTATGTTCCCCCATTAAAAAAAAAAAAGTCACTTTCTGACCCTTCATTCTATCCTGTATCCTATTCCCTATGAGCCGTGACTTTTATGCCTCCACAGAAATGTGGAAGATTAAAAAAGAACCCACATGGATTACAACATGAGGACTCAACGGTTCCGGAGCGATTTGCATTCTATCCTTTTATATCCTAATCATTTTCGATCTTTCATCTTATCAGCACTCATAAATTACACATACTCCATTCAGCAGCAATGTCTCTATTATTTTCAGCATGCTTGCACACAGTTAAGCCAATCCCATAAACAACTAAGCGGGAAGTGGCTAACATTCCGTCTTCATTGTGAGCAGTGGCTTTCAGAACTTGGCCCTATAGGGACACGGGGCTTCCTATGACCGTCACCCAAGGCCCTGGGACGTGGGGACGAGGAGAAGTGAGGTGAACACACGGATGAGGTTTGGACCCCCATTCAGCCACAACAGCCCCACTTTGCTCTCTTTTCTAGTGGGGGGGGGGTGTGGCTAACATCCCAAATTCCATTTGAAGAATCGTTTCCACAGCTTTAAGAAGTCTGCAGACCCCAATCCAAAGCACTCAAAACATCTCTGCCTTTTCTTCCAATAAAGGTATGCTACGCAGCGTGACCAAAGAAACACTTGCTACAACATAATATTAAAATAGGTTGAGAAAATGTCTTCCTGAAGGGGGCTTTTCATCTTGCTAAATTTTTGAAGCTTGGGGATTCCTCAATTTACAAAGTATTCCAGAAGTTTCGTTCTTAAGGCAGAGCTTTGGGGAAGTCAGGGCTCACTTTCCTAGAAACGATGATCTGTCGTCCCAAGGCAGGCAATAAAAGCTCGATGCCCTACACGCGAAGTGAAATGTTACTGTTGCTACTAGAAGCGAAGTTGTCCTTTTGCTCCCTTGTTGAATGGGCTACTGTGGGCCAGTGGGGGCGCCTAACCACCATTTATGTCATTTCTTTGAAGCAGCTCCTCCTGTGATGTGTGATAAAACAGGAACTAGCTAGTGACTCACAGAAGTGTGCGCGCTCTCTCTCCCTCTCTCTCTCCCTCCCTCCCTCCCTCTTCTCTTCCTCCCTCTGTCTCTCAACTGCTAAGTTCCAGGGCAGTCCACGTCCATCACAACCAGTAGCTGGCCAAGTACACACGCCATCAGTCATCTACAAGCTGGATAATGCCTGTAAGCCACTGCCTATCTCCAGTTCTGAAAAGCTAACTTGTTTGCTTGCTTATTCTCCAATATTTCGCATCATTTTATTGGAACTATCTGACACCCAATACGGATCCCAAAAAAGCTTGAGAGGATCTAACGCTTAAGCAAAAAAAAAAAAAAAAAAAAAAAAATGCTGGCAGTGTTTATAACCCAGAGAGAGAGAGAGAGAGAGAGAGAGAGAGAGAGAGAGGACAGAAAAAGATAACATGTAACTATAAATAACTGTCTGGGTTGGACTAAAAATTAATTTTTGTTTTTCCTTCATTTTTGCTCATTTGGAAAGCTAATGAGCTGAAAGAAAAGAATTGGCTTTAACCAAACAATTCTAAAGGATTTCAGAATGTCAAAACTTGGAGTTATGAACAGATTTGACTCATTTAGCACCACAAATTATCAAAACAAGTAAATAAAATATTTAATAGTCGATTTCCACTAAAATCGTTGAGCTATTCAGAAATCTTGATATCAAAATTCTAAGGAAATGCTCTGCCTCAGATGCAAATCATTCAATATGTTAAAAATCAAATCAGTTGCCATTACGGAATAGTACCGTTAGGACAGGTATCTTTCCATGCCTTTGCAAAAACAGATTTTCACTTGTAGAAGTGCTTCCATCGCTCACCCAGAAAAAAAGAGGATAATAATAACGGTGAGGAGAAGGACATCTTCCTACGTGTGACTTTTGCACTTTTTGCAAAATTCTACCTTTACAAATACTACACACACTATCACCTTGTACTGCAATTTTTTGCTTACAGATCTCCTTTCTACGTGTTCCCTGAGCAAAGGGACCAAAACACTGGTTAAAAATACTAGGGGCTCACAGATCTAGATTCTATTTCAAGTTCAACTCTTTACTAAGTTTGCAAGGGCAAGTCGTCTATATTCTCTAAAGGCTGAGTGCCTCCTCTAAATAGGGATAATACTCAACACCTGCATAGGGCTGTTTGAGATTAAATAATACATGTAGAATTGTGCCCTAAATATAGTAAGACTGATGGTCGTGATGATGCCTTTACACTCCGTCCACCCCTGCCTAACGCAATTCAGCCTGTGTCTCTTGAACTGAGTTGTTTCTCCCCCACTGTCTGCCCGATAATGTCCTACGTTTCCTATCTAGAGGAGACGACATTTGAGAAAAATCTTTCCGAGAATCCGATGCCTCCCCACCCTCCCTACCGCTGCCTGGAGAACCCATGGCGTGTTGTGCATACCTCTATTCACCCCTGTCCCACCAGCCTCTCACTATCTGCGTGTCGCTGCCTCTAAAGCTTGCCACATGAGGGGGAATAAATTCACCTTTTCATAAAACAGGTCCTTTTTCCTTTGTGTTTCTAGAATCGGGCACGTGGTAAGACACAAGACATTCTTATTCCTGGGCTAAGCTGAAGGCACCTATAAGCACTAATTGAAGCAACAACAGGGGGTGGAGTGCCATCCAGAGGAAGGAGACAGGGCTTTACAGCAGATCCTTTCTCAACCTTCAAGGCTCCAGTCAAATCCCCACTCCAGCGCAGAGCACTAAGCGATCGAGCCCACGCTCACATTTCCCTTCATGAATCCTTACTATAAATTAAACACAGTCGCTCTGGGAAAGTGTGTTAGTCCTGTTTCCTCAGACGCCCTGCGAGCTCTGGGAAGAGAGGATTAACTAATTATAAATTCTTTTGCAAAGAACAAGGACATGTAATAGGCAGGAAACAAATATTTGATTGCTTGATTTAATTCTGTTTTACAATGTGCTTGAAGTACTTCTGCAGAATTATCTAATTAATCCTAACTTGATGAGAAGAAAGGCATATTGGATCTGCACAGACTAAGCCAAGCCCTGGCAGCCTCCACCGTGTGAATGAGCAAAGGGTGTTCTTGCCGGCTCTGTAACAGTGCCTTTCCTTGGCCAGCACTCAAGTTTTTGAACTAATGGCTTAGCACACAAAAATTAGCATTTTACACAAACCGAAAACTAACTGCCAACCAAGTCTTCATGGTGTTGTTAACCAACAGTAATCTCTACCTTGAGTTATATTTCCTCTAATTAAATGGACTGAGAAGTAGTCCCAAGTCCCTCAGAAGAGGGTGACAGAAACTACCATCTCCCCTGTGATCAGATAAACTTGCAAGGAAATAATTAGACCCTGGTGCAACTGAGACCTCACTACTCTCATTGAGGATGGCTACATCCTGATGTTTTCCAAGATTATCAGCTAGACATCTCTTTCCTTCACACATTCTGCTCTTCTCCCTTTTCCATAGGAAGGATTTTCAGGGATAACAATAATAACAACAACAACAATAATAATAATAATAAACCTCTACAGTCATACCATCTTTTTTTAACTTTTCAAAATGCTTTCACACCTAACAGTTGGATGCCTGCAGCCACCCTCAAGACAAGTAGACAAGACAAGGTAGACTGTCTCACTTTACATAAGCACAAGGAATCCGCGTGGCTGGCCCAAGGTCCCCACCAATGAACAGCAGCAGGGGGACGAGGACGCGATCCTCCCCCGCCATCCACTCCTCGGTGTTGTTTTCCCAGGCAAACCTCAGGGATACTGCGGTTCCAGACCACAGCATTTACACAAATATAGCAATAAAGCAAGTCACATGACATTTTCTGTTTCCCAATGCATTTAAAAGTTATGCTCGCACTATATTTTAGTCTGTTAAGTGTGCAACAGCATTGTGTCCAAAAAACCAATCTACGCACCTCAATGAAAAATAGTTCACTGCTAAAACACGCTAACCATCATCCGAGCCTTCGGCGAATCATCATCTTTTAGCGGATGGAGGGTCTTACCTTCCATTTATAAAAAATGCAGTATCTGCGAGAGCAATAAACTGCAACGAAACGAGGGTGCCTGCACCCCGGTGACCAGCGGGCTGCAGCGTCATGACCCAGCACCTCCCCGCGCCATGGCCGGCGAGAGCTGAGGCAAGACAACGTCTCTGAACGAGGGTACCCCAGATTTCTTCAGAAGAGACTGGCTGTCCCTGCGGAAAGCACTGCCGTTCAAATCCCTGGTCTCAACCAATGTGTCTCGCCATATTGAAGGCAGGTTTCCATCCAAAATGGTTGACTGGGAGCCAAGTGTGGTGTTCTAATCTTTGTTCATGCTGTCAGTGTGACATATGAAAGAAATATGAATAAAGTGACAGGATGAAAACAAAGCGAGTGGCTGGTGTGAGATACACAGACAGGGTGTTAGCCCCACACGCTCTGCAACTGGGTCAAGTTAACACCTCTTGTTTCCCCTACATATGCGGTGTGGGAAAGCTATTTATAAAATGTTTCTAAACATTTAGGACCAAATAAATCAATATTGTTGGGAAACACGTATTCTGACCAGAACTCGTTTGCTTGCCACAGTCCCACGTGAATAACAGAACCGAAAATACAGGGACAATCCGGGACCAGGAATACAGCAGATGTTCGGTGGTTTCGCCCCGCACGCCCACCCAGGCCTGCCCGCAGGCTCCACGCTGGCTGGTGACCCAGCACGAACAGCATGATGACAGGAGCTCAGACGAGCGGCCAGCCTTGCGAATGACAGTTAGCACCAATGCAACGAAAACAGGCCTTCTAGAAATTACCTGACTCTGCAATTCGCTTTGCTGCTTCAGGCGAAGATTCTCAGGTGTATCTGCCACCGTCGTGAAGGACTGCTTTGGGTAGTGTCTGTGGAGAGATTTTTTTTTAAAGAATAGAATTAAAATATTACGATATAAAACAATGCTTTCACACCAAAAGTTTCATCACTCCTTTCTGTTACAATGGAAAGAGGCGTTTTTCCTCTGAGCCAAGGTCATCTCTCTATCATCATTCTGGATCCCACCCCCTTCTGTTATAATGGAAAGAGGCGTTTTTCCTCTGAAAGGTCATCTCTCTATCATCATTCTGGATCCCACCCCCTTCTCCATGCTCATGACAGTCTATCACCCGGTTATTCCCACTATCACCCCAAATTCCAACCTCAGCTTCTCCACTCTCTGAGCTACTTCCCATCAGCCTCCAGGCTAAGCCTCTCCTGCCTCTCACTGTCCCTCCCTACACACCATTCTAGCAAGTGGCAGCTAGAATCTATTCTCTCCATTAGCCACACTTTCTGAGAAAGAGGCCTAACTCACTGTCCCTGCTCATCTCTTCATCTCTCTCCTCAGCTTTATGCATTCTGGCTTCTAGCTTCTGTTTCCAGAAGTTTCTCTGGTCAAAGTTAGAATGACTTCCCGTGGACACATCCAGCAGACATCTTTGGTCTTCCTCTTGCATCGCTTTCTCTCCCTCTTGAAATGCCCTTTTTTGGTTTCCCTTTGGTCACCAGGCACTGCCGACCTGGCTTTTCCAGATCTATCTCTCCCTTCTCTCTCCCGTGGGCTCCCCTCCGTTGATCTCATTCATTCTCATGGCTTTGGGCAAGCCCTCTATAAATGCTAATTAACCCCAAGTCTGTATCACTAGCCCAGCGTCCTCTCCTGAAGTTCAGATCCATGGGCATTTCCACGTGTGTGTATCTCATACCCACCACGAAATCGACCGGTCTGAAACTCAACTGTCCTTCATGCCACCCTGCCCCCAAAACAAGTCTGCCCGTAGTCTCACTTTCATTTATTAGTGCCCAATTGCCTAGGCCAGAAACCTGGGAGCAACCCTGACTCCTCACACATCCAATCAATCGATCACCAAGTTTGTCGATTCTATCTCCTAAGTATGGCTCAATCACATTTACTTCTCTATGTCTCCACTGCATTTTTTTTTTTTCATTACAGACCATATTTATTTTTCAGGTAACTACAACACCTGCCGGTCTTGCCCTTCCAATCTGAATCGCCAAAACGAAGGTTCTAAAATGCCGATCTGAGGAAAACCTTTCGATGGCTTCCCATTGATCGGAGAATAAAGTCCAGCCTGCCACCTTCCCCCAAGATCAGCCCTCCGCAGACTTCTCGCTCACACTCCATGCTCTGGCCGTGGAGTTCACCCTTGTCCCTCCCACCTCCTCCCCCACAGGCTGTTCCGCTGGCCAGAAACACTCATCCTTCTCATCACACTTCTCTGGCTTACCCCGCTTTATCTCTCAGGTCTCGCCTCAGATGTCACTTTCTTCAGGAAGCCCTCGTGCTCGCTCAGATGCGCCCTGGGATGCCCTTCCCTCCCCATTATCCACCTTATCGTCTCCATCTGTGCGCTCCTGCTGACGCGTCTCTCACACGCGAGGAAAGTTCTGTGGCAGCAAGAACAGGCCGTCCTGTCCTTTGTCAGAGCGCACTCAGCACCTACCAGTGTCTGGCTCATAGTATGACTTCAATAAATATTTGTGAAAAGGAGCGAAGAAAGAGGGAAGGAAGGAAGGAAGATAGGAGAGAGGGGACACAGCAATCAGCCAGAGCCTAAGAGCTCAGGCCAGGCTATAGGAAAGCTTCGCCGTGTCGTATCATGTATAGTCACACGTACGCAAACACGCAGGCATTTGCTGCCATGTGTGGGCGAGGGCTCAAACACCGATTCACGGCACTGAGGGGACATTCCTAGCTGCTGCAACTCTGTCACCACAAAAGCTGTGGAACTCAGAGCTGTTCCTCAAAGAGCCCCCCTCCCCGGTGACGTCCACCCTGCGTCTCATGTCGCGCTGTCTCAGGAGTCCTCCTCTAGGCCTCACTGTTTCAAACTCTGCTCATTCTGTAGAAGGTTCTTTTCAGCATCCCTGTTCCTGGAAAGCTGAGGCAGTAATCTCTTGTCGACGCAGATAAACTCTAAACAAGCTACGAAAGGACACCAGCACCTCTGAAGTAAGGATGAAACATATTTTGTAGCCCTGTGGAGTCAAATTCATGGTGGGAAAACATACATTAATGCCTCGTTTTTCTTGCATTCTTCAGCAATTAAATGTCCCACATAAGTCAAGTTTCCAGATAACCGAAGTTAAAATCCTATAACCTACCAGACGCATTTTTAACTATTTTAATTAACATCTTTCAAAAAACTTTTACATAATTTTCCTGCCTTCTTAGAGCGTACACACACCTAATTTAAATTTTATCGTGATTTCTTAGGGCATCCTAATAGATATTGTCAGATCATGACACGAGGCAGTCGTGCTTTTCCAGCTTACGAGGACAGGGACGGCCTAACCGGATGTGACAACGGAGAGACAGCGAGGGACCATTTCTCACACTCCGCTCTCTGCCTTCCACGGTTTTTAATTCTGGCTTCCTCCTTCTAACCCAGACTGAGAAACGAGATAGTCGAGTTTGTTCTGAACGTTGGTGAAAACTAGAGTTATTGATTCGAGCGAGGAAGCCATAGAAGGCGAGGTCTCCCCTTCTCTTTATCCCAAAGTCATGGCCTCTGCATCGGCCACACCCGTTGGGGCCACTTTTGAACTGTGCTCCCGACACGTGAGGCTGGACAGACAATGTCAGTGTGTTCTGTAAGATGTACAAGTCAGTCCTGGAAAGTTGAACAGTGATGGACTTTAATATGTAGCAACTACATATGGCTCTACTTTAAAGTTAAAATAATAGCAGCACTTTTTTTTTTTCAAAATACATTCTGTAAAATAAAGTTTCACAGAGATTTTCAGAGGACCACGATGTTTAATTTAAAATTTTTATATATGTTTTTTTAACTGCTTTAAATACTGTAATAAAAATCTGCTCTCAAATGTGTTACAGAATTAGTCCATTGAAACCCTACTGTACTAACTTACACATTAACTCAGTTTGGGGGCAACCTTTGAGGGGGAAAACCTTCTCCGGCCATTTATGTTTAATTAAAAACTCTGCTTAATTTTTAAACAGAGATGGAAACATGAACTGGGGGGTGGGGGTGTACAATCTGCAACTACTTGCCTGTGAGTACATGAATTTCCTCCACACCAGCTAAAAATAATTCTTTTTTTTTTTTTAAGAAAACTTCACTTGCCACCTGTACCTCTCGTTCTGAAGTTTCATTTCATGAAATAATCTGATTTTTTCTCACCATTTACTTTACAACAAGAAAAGGTAATAGATTTGAACTGATAAAAGACATGCATATAAATAAAACACCTCATATATGTTAGCTATTGGCATCTCATACTAAGTCCTATTTGGAACAAAGGTTATGCTGAAAAAAAAACAATTTTTAAGCTTCTGAGTTTTTTTTCAAAAGACATAATCTGCTGCCCTGGTGGCCAAAGCAGCAAAGCTACTAACATGCTGTGCAATTATATCGAGCACTATAAACAGATGGCCATGTTTCGCACTTTTTCCAATATCCTTTTCAATTCTAAAACATAATAATTTTCTAATAGTGAGTTCATCTATATCTAACATGACTTCTCTAAAGAGGCAGAACAGGAAGAAATTATCCCAAGTTTTGATCTAAGAGAAAAAGTTTAACTTAGTGTCAATAACCGAAATAATAAAAGCTGAGTGGAAAGAAGTAATTCATATCTGAAACCACTAGGAATCGTGAGTACTATAACAGATGAGAACCGGAGGCTTTGGAGATCCAAGTTACCTTCAGTGTTAGCAAAATTCAAGAGAATAAAATCTTGGGGGCAAAAATGCCTAACAAACAAGAGGGAGTGGAACAGTCTCATGAATCGGAAGCATAAGACTCAGAAGAAATGAGTGTAATGACAGAAACGGCAGCACACACCGCCTTCACTTAAATAATCACAGTAGCTGGAGAAACCTAATTAATTTTGCCAAACTTGACATATCTGAAAATCCTGGATTTCTCACTATCGTGTCCGTGTAGTAATTTCCATCTAGCCAATCCAAAAACACTCTAAAGCCATAGTGTCAACTCCCGCTCACCCATCACCCCACCTGCAAAAGAAAACCAGACACAGAATAAACTGGAGGGCCAGTGGTCCCTTGTAGGATCATAGACACTGAGAAGCAAAGCATGTTAAAATTAACTGATGCTACTATACAGTTCATTCTAGATCTTTCCAAATATTGTAGAAGGTCTTCCTATAATAGATATCTTGAATAGAAATCTTAAGGAAATAAGATTTCTTCAACAACCCTCGATGAAGGACATTTCTCATTCTTTAAAGAACACAGCACAGAAGGCATGGGGGCAAAAGAAATGGATGTTCAAAGGGAACCAGGAAAAACATTTAAAAGCATACCGAAGAAGAGGTGGGTGAATTGGTACATGAACAAATTTCCTGGAAAATATAACTTAATGGTGGCAATACGACATATACCACATTGGGAACTGGTGGAAAGAGCTGAAGAATATCGTGAAATGTTTAAGCATCATAAATAGAAGTCTCTTCGCTGAAGTGTGCAGAAATTGGATGAAGTGTATGTATCAAGACTAGGCTGACAGCTGCAACAGATCCAGATTGCCATGAAATGCTACATTCAAAACAAACAGAGAAAGAATCAAGATAATAACAGAAGACTACGTCTGAAATAGCTTAAGCTAGGTCACAGAAAGAACACTTGCAATTTTTTTTATCTCTGTGAGATTCGGTTGATAAGAATATAGGAAAAGTTATATGCAAACCAGTAGCCTACAGCTGGGCAGAGTGAAGACAGCAGTGTAAGCAAGTGGCGACTTCCACAGAGATAGGAATGAGAAACACTATTGGATGAGAGCAAGAATCCAAGACCTTGGGCTTTTTATCCACAGCCTGGTGGTCACGACAGCACTGGAGCCTGAGTTTGAACCTGGCTCTT